CTGCTGATGCTGTTGCCTGTCATTGCATTTAGTTGGCATTTCCCTGGCTTTGTGTGTGTGTGTGTATAGTTTTTCCTTTACAATATTTCCACGTTGTTATGCACTTCACACAAGTGGAAGACACTTGGGTCTGCTGATGTTCCTGCTGCTTATATTGTCACAATATTTTCGCTTTTCAATGCGCCGCTCGAAAGCACAAGTGAAATATATGCCCATGTGGCATTTTGAGTTTGGCAAGCGGCCCCTGTTCGCCATTTTCTATGGCTTTATGTGCCGAAATCTGCAGAATGGAACTCTTGATTTATTCAGCCATCCCATCGATCGGTTTTAAAGGACAAGAGCCGCCTGCTGCGAAGTAAATCTCATCATTTGCCATGCACTGTCGTCGTTTGTTTCCATCTGCCTGCCATGTAATTTTCACATTTTTACTCATCAACGCCAACGTCATATCCATGGGATGACTTGCCCCGCGGCCCACCCACCGCCCACTCCCATTGTGTGGGCGTGGCATGCCGGCAAAGGAGGCACCAGCAGCACCAGCAACAACAATAACCACCGCTGCAACACAGCAGATGCTGCAACTGCGGCTTTTGTGTGTGAAGGAAGTAGGTTAGTGGCTCACTCGTCAGCCAAATGAATGATGGAGTAACTGCGGCAAACTGTGGCTGAAAAGTTCCCTTTTTCTTTTTTTTTTTTTGCATCCCGGGCAATTGTATGGTTAATTGAAATAAGAGATGATACAAAAAAAGAAATCCAACAAAAAGGAAAGTGAAAGCCCATAAGAGGGGCAGGTGTGGTCATTAAATGGGGCACACATGTGCGCAGTATTTCCAGGCACTAACCTGGTTCTGGTGGGCTGCTCCGGCTCCTCCTCCTCCTCGATGATGTGACTCAAACCCGTGGTGTTTGAATACTCCATGGATTGCCGGCCCTCCAAGGGGCTGGCTGTTTTTCCGAGCTGTCACTAAAATACATTTAAGCAGCTGCACCACCGATTTCAGGCCAAACAAAAGTGATTGCAAGCCTGCAAAGTGAAAGTACTGCGCCTAAAAGATGCCACTAAATCTTGCACTTTCACTGCATAACGTTAGTGTTTAAATTTTAAAGCTTATTTTTTATTAATTTCACTTTTGCACTTCACTCTAACGAATTTATTGGGGTTTTCTATGCTTCTGAAAGGGAAATCCTTTGCGGAAATGCTCTTGCCGTTTGGCTGGCTGCCGTCATAACTGGCGTGGAATACTGTAAATCGGCTTTTGGCCACTGCAGTTTTGCCGTTTTTCCGTTTTAGCCCGTGCGGAGACCGAGCGACCAGCCTCTGGGCCCGAAAAGCGCCGACGACTACGACAGCGACAGGACGACGGCGACAACAAAATGCAGCAAAAAGTTTTTAAAGCTGCAGCAGCAACAGCAGCAGCAAATACAACAAAAAAGTAGCTTAGCTGCCACAGGATGTGAGGCAAGAGCGAGCCAGCAAAATAATCACATGGCTCGTTGCAAGCTTGCCGCAGCAACAACATTCTGGCCCGAATGAAGCGTTGCCGCAAAAACATAAACAGAGAGCCGCCAGCCGGTGAGAGCCGGGCCAAAAGAGAGTGCCGCGAAAGTTTGGCCCAAACACTTTTCAAATTTTATAAAAATTGTAAAATCATCTAAATATATTAAATCACTCTCTAAAAATGGCTAAGCCATTTGTTTTTAAACGGAACCCATATTAGTATCTTTGCTTTTTAACTACTTCTACCGAATATAAAATATATTTTAAGCTCAAAAAATAAATATATGTTTTATCCTACAATATCTTTAAAAATTAATTTCATTTTTTATAGTCCAGTTTTTCTTTTCAAATACCATTTAAGAGAATATATGTAGGAAATGGATTATTAAAACTTTTAAATCAATTTTAAATTCATGAATACTAAATTTATATTTTTTGATAACTTTAAAAAAGACATTTGTAAACTTCTACTACATGAAAAAAATTTTTTTTTCTGTGGAGTGATGCATTAACATTGATAAAAAAAAATCGAAAAATCCAATTATATCCAATAATGTAAACTTCTTAAACAAAAATTATCTTTGAACAAATACAATAATTTTTCTCCGCTCTCGCAGCGAATTTCCCACGCCGGCGCGCTCTCCTCTTGAATCGCCGAGTTCGCTCTGCCCACGCGGGCTGCACAAAATCGCGTGCACGAGATGGAAACCAGGTCAGGGCCGCCTTGCTCGCGCTGCCCCAACCACTGCGCTCCTGCATCGCCACCCACTCCGGCGGAAAGCTTTCTTCTTGTTTTGCTTCTCGGCGAGCAAGCTCATTGGATTAAAGCTCTCCTTCGTAGCCCCATAGGTTGTGCCGCCTCCACTCGGGTACACAATCGGTTTAATTAATTAGTAACAAATATATTTCTGTATAAATACGATCCTAAAGGTTATCGAACTTAAAATGTACGACAAAATCGAGCACCCGCACTAAACATCGACGGAAAATCATAAGTAGAGAACAGTGAGACACAGAAACATAAATTCTAGACAGAGCAGTTGCACTTGCTTCGCCATTTCGGTACGGTTTTCGTTTTCGGTTAGGCTCAGTTAGACAAAGATAACACAAAGTAGTAATTACAATTAGTTGGCAAAACTATGGTTTCTCAAGGCACATTTTGGCTTGGCATCTATTGATTTTGCTCCCCTCCTTTCAGCGCCGCATCTTCTCCAGAATGGGCACCACCATGTCGAACTTGGGCCGCTTGCCGGGATCCTCGTTCATGCAGATTCCGATCAGCTTGGACATGTGCGACGAGGTGCCTGGCGGAATTTTGACACGCAGACCCTCCAGCGCAATCTTCATGCCGCACTCCATGGGCGACCACTCGGCGAAGGGTACCTCGCGTGTGGTCAGCTCCCAAATAAGTATGGCAAAACTCCACATGTCGCAGGCCTCCCAGTTTCGATCCGCCTGCTTGCGCTGCAGTGCCTCCGGCGACATCCAGGCCGGCTGGTAGATGCGTCCCTTCTCCTGGAACGAGAACTTGGCGTCGCCCATGTTTATCCTCGCCGTTAGATCCTCATCAATCATCACATGATGACTGTTCAGGTGATATGTGGGAATGATGCGCTCCAGCGAGTGCAGGAAGGCCATTCCCCGAGCAACATCCAAGGCAAAGCTTACCGCCTGGCTGGTGTCCACCACTACACCAGTGGCTCCATGCAGCAAGCTAAACAGCGAAGAACGTGGCATGAACTGTAAAGAACGAATAATTTGTGGAGATTAAAAAGCGATCACTGAAGTTATTTCAATCCAACCCACCTGACTAATGGTAACCAGATTGGGCGGCGAATTGCAAGCCCCTATAATGGGCAAAATGTTGGGGTGAGAGAAGATGCGCAGCTTGGGGAATTCCTCGTTGAAGTCCCGCGATATGCGAGGCGTGCACTGGCGCACGCCCAGTATCTTGGCCACCACATCGTTCTTTTGCCAGCGACCTCGCCAAGTTTCCCCCGACGGCGTCACCGAGAGCTTGGTGTGCAGGTCCAGGTCTCCCATACTAATTCCCTTGAAGCGGGACAAAGTGGCATCCCTCGACCGCGTCTTCATGCCCTGCCAACTCTGCTCCTTGAAGCTGATCACCTTCACCTCCCTGCCGCTTCTCTCGACTATATCCTGTAGCCTCTTGGCCAAGCTGGGCTTGGCCTTTTCGATCGGCGTGTGCCCGTCCTTGTTGGCGATTCCCACCTGGGCTCCCGCATTCAGCAAATCCTCGCAGATCATGTCATAGCCCCAGAAGCAGGCGTAGTGCAGCGGTGTGTTTCCATGCTCGTTTACCGCATTCACATCGCTGCGCTCTTTTATCAACTAAAGTGGGAGATATGAGTTTTAGGTAAGATAAATTATTGGTTTGTGCCTTATCTCACCATTTGGACCACATCGCGGTGGCCATGAGCTGCCGCCAAATGGAGTGGGATGTCGTCACCCATGTTGGTGGCATTTACGCGGGCTCCACGCTGCAGCAAAGTCTCCACCAGCTTGGCATGTCCCTCCTTGGCGACCCAGTGCAATGGACTAAAGCCATGGTCGTCACTAAAAAAATGAATAAATATATTAGACATGACAGGAAATATTACATATTTTAAATTATTAAAAGCTTAAGGTACGAAGTAGTTCTCAGTCCGTATTATGTATACTTTAATCTACCATTATATGTTCTCATTAGATCTAATAGATCACAATGGGATTAATAATTTATAGTTATAATTTGAATTCCTCTTTTAACGCAATAATCAAGTTTCACTTAAAAAAAATAAGTTTTTTATCAATGAACATAGTTGTTTAATTTAGTACATAGATTTTAGGTATTATTCCCGCTTCATAGTAACCAAACGATTGCTTCTAAAACAAGATTATTAGGGGTAAAAAAACATCTGTAGAATACAATATAGAATCATTGTGTGGGAAGCGGGTTTTATGCTCGCGATATGCATACATATAAATTTTTGATTTGTCTGTTTACACAACACAAGAATAAATCATGACGTCACTGAGACTTCAAAGACCCTCGAAATCTTGGGCGTATTTGGGCGATGACTAAATGGGCATTTTTTGGATGGGAGGCTACTACTCATAGGGTCTTTCTTTCTCTGTACCAGTAAGCAACTAGAAAGTGCTACTTGTTTTAGTTTTACCCCAAATTGTTGTCGTGCTCCGTTTCATCCAACCACAGGCGCACTTGAATCGAGTTGCCCTCGCGGCACCAGTGGAATATATCCTCCATTTTCTCTCGTCACGCCTTTATTCCGCACTCAGTCACTATTTTCAAAGGTTTTCCAACCTAAATTACATCTAGAAACGGCTAAAAACTATTAAAAGGCGACAGTTGTGAGAATTTCTAATTAAAAAATTAACAGTGTGACCGTTCGATACATTTGCCCATCAGCTCGCGTTGCCAACTGCTTCAGAACATCGATAACTGCATATCAAGATATCGATAATTGCGCGAAAAGTGAATGACAAAATCAGAAAGAAGAAGAAGGAACACAACGTGCACCGCAAATATTTTTAAAAACATTCCTATTAACTTGAATTACGGCCCGAATACAATATTGGAAAGCTAGAAAATGAAGCTCAGCACTTACAACTTTCTTACCTCCATGGCCATTAAAGGTGTAAAGGTGGGATTTCCCCTCAAGCTGACGGTGAGTTCTGGAATCTATAACGCTGCCTATTGATTGTTTCATGGAATATTTGTTTTTCTAACCAGATAAGCAAAAAGGAAGTGGTGGAGAGCGAGTTCAATCCTACTTTCGTGGAGCGAATTCTACCGAAATTGGACTGGTCTGCGGTCTACGGAGCGGCACAGGTGGTGAGTGTTAAAGGATCGGGTTAAGACAGCTAGTGGGATAGTGGATACTGTAAAATTTTTCAAACAGTTTCCCATTCTAAAGCAAGTAGACCTTAAAAGCCAGTTCTGTTTAAATCCTATAAACAGATTACAACATTATAATAAAACGTAAACATTTTAAAGTGATGATGTTTCCAAGAACACCTTATAATTCCCTCGCAAATTCGTATCTTTCAGGCGGAACTCACAGAAGACATACCCGCTGTGCAACCGGAAAACATTGGCGAGAATGAGCTGCTCCTGCAGAAGCTGCACCACCTGCTGTTCGAGATCGACGTGCTCGAGGGACAACTGGAGTGCCCGGAAACAGGAAGGGTGTTCCCCATAACCGATGGCATACCCAACATGCTCCTCAACGAGGACGAGGTCTAAATCCGCCCATTCAATGCTTTTTGTACTATAGCCCCATCTCTCCAAAAACGCATTATTATTAAGTAAGTTTGTTAGTTTTAAAGTCTGTTTATTTACGAGTTACTAAAAATAATTGGAGCTTGGATGGAATGTGATTTTTTTGGGGGTCTGGAGATCTACGTACTCGTGGAGAGTTTGGGAGGGTTTTGGGGGGAAGAGCAAAAAACACTTTACGACACATATAAATGGTAAGTCTAAGTTTTTGGGGGGTGGTGCTTATCCATGTACTATGATTAATCCCCTCTTTTTTGGCGCCCTGGGGAGATTCAAGATAGGGGACTCCCGCCTAGTTGCATTTGATGTTGGGGCTCTTGTTGCTGCCTTGAGCGTAAATGCTGCCCTTGGCCAATCCAGACTGGGCTCCTTTGCAGAGTTCCGAATTGCCGCCCCTGGGTTTGTAGCTCCGTTCTGCCAAGAGACTTGCGTCTGGTCCTTGAGTGGCCTGCTTTTGGAGCAGCTTGGTATTGGGTCCATTCCAGGTGACATAGTCGGCTCTGCAGAGAAAAGAAGGAATTATATTATTTTTTAAGTATTTTATGAAAATTTAAGCAAGTTCTTACAATAGAAGATTTTCATCTGCACCCTTGTTTAGCTGAGAATTCGGTCCCAAGCTGGCCATTCGTTCGATGATAGATTGGAATTCTGCCGATTCCGAATTGTTGGAGTTTCCAAAGCCCGAGGAGTGCTGGCGATGCCTGTTAGGGAAAGTAAATATACACTTGAATATAATAAATTCAAAATAAAGATCAAAGATTATATAAGCTTTAGGCATGCCAACAAAAATCGAGTAAATAGGTTGTAAAGATTAGCTCAAAACTGGATTCCCTGCTACAATCCATGCGAAATCCTTTCAAACGCATGCGCAAACGACTGATTCGGATTCGAAATCTACTTAGCGAAACGGTAACGGTATCGGGTTTAGCGGGCGTACTTCAGTGAATCGGTTTTGGTGCGAGCGCGACTTTCGAATGCTGCTGGCCTCCTCGCGATGGATGAGGAGTTGGACTGGGCCGACGAGGCCAGCGATGAGGACGTCATTGATGCGGAGTAGGAGGAGTAGGAGCTAGCATTCGAGGAGCCATGCAGGTAGCCGCCGATGCTGTAGTTATTGGTATCGCTGTGGCCATAATGGGTATAGCCGCTCTTGGCCAGGATGCCCTTGGTGGTCAGGCGCTCGTAGCTTTTCTGCCCGATGCGGGGTGAATGTGCGGGTGAGGCATATGAATGCGATGAGGATGCGCTCGATATGGATGACAGATGGGTCTCCAGCTTCTCCTCCACTGTGGGCGTTGGTGTGGGCGTGGTCTGGGCCAAAATGATCTGGGTGGTGAACGTCGATGGTGTGGTGACATTGATCGATGGCAGAATGTGGCGCTTGTGCGGTGGCTTCGGTTTGGATGAGGTGGTGGGCTCCACCACGGTGGGCAGGCTGGTTGATCGAGTGGCGCAAAGCAAGCGGACAGTGTGGATTTGATTTGATTTTTTATAATATTATTTGGTTCGGGGTTTTAGTCAGAGGCGAAGGCAGCAACAAAAGTTCACATAGAAAATAGGCAGTCGATTAACAAACGGATAAAGCAGCGGGCCAAAGAGAGAGAAGTGGTTGGGAGAAGCAGGTGGCAACGACCTTGTTTGGTTGGGGTAAAGGTAAAATCAAGGGGTACCTGTCTCCGGTGGCACCATCCACCTGTTCGGTTCCCGTCGTGATTTTGGCCAGCTCCAGATGTTTGGTTTTCGAAGGCGCCTGCTTTTGGGCCCTCTGCTCATCTTCGTCCTGGACAATCTGCAGGATCTGGGTGGCCCGATCCTCGGCATAGTTAACCGACTCCAAGGCCATCAGTATAATGCGCTCGGCAATTTGGGGGTACTTCTCCTTGAGCAACGTTTGCACTGCAAATAAAAAGTATAAGCTTTTTGGGACTTTAATCTTTCGATTTACACTCACTTTTTATCTTTTCCTCTTCTGTGTATTCCTTGGGTCTTAGAGGAATGTGTACACCACCCTGATCCCCGGCAGCCTTCTGTTCTGGGCTCAATTCCGGTGGTCGATTGTTGGGCCTGTGTGGCTGTTGCATCTCGCGTTTTGTGTAGCCCAAGGATATCAACTTCTCCGAGGCAAACTGCACATTATTATCCGCATTAGCCAGGATATCCAGGAGCAGCTCTTCATCCGCCTTGGGAAATATATTCTTCATGTATCTATGGGGAATAGTGGAGTATTACTTCACCGATACACTTATTTTAAGGGTTAAGAACGAATAAATAAAATAAATTGGATAATTTAGCTTACAACATTTAGAGTCTTAAATATTGTGACTTACAGGAGTGACCTTGAGTGTTAAAAATTATAACTAAAATGTTATATACATAATCTTAATAAAAGTATAAATAAAATCCCCATTAAAATATTTGATTTTAGAAATTAATGAAGAAAAAAATGATTCTCCCTTGAGCGGACAACTCACGGACAAACAAATAAAGACGGAATTAAATTAAGTTCTGAGGAACTCAATTCGATTTCCCCTAAATGGAAATCCCAGCGAACCTCAGTTTCATCTTGGGCGAGGAATGCGGCCTGGGCGAGCTGCGCCACAGGGGCGATCCGTGCAGAGCCGGCGGAACAGCCGAGCCCGGGGGCAAGACTACCTGGTGGCCAGGATGGCCAGGAGCCCCCGAGCCTCCGGGACCACCAGGACCGCTCTGCACGCTCACGAGACTACCGAAGCGTCCGCCGGGCAAGGGACTGGCCGTGCGCGAGGTGCGCCGACTAGCCACCGTGTCCGGACGACGTGCCGGTGGAGTCATGTAGAAGGCGGAGCTGCTGTGGAACAGGTGCCTCTGCGAGGGGGGCGTCACGAAGGGACCGGGCATGGTCACCGGGTGCTTCTCCACCTGCAGAGCACTGATGACGACCGCCTCGCTGTTATAGTAGCTGTGGGTTTTCGTGGGTTAGTAAGCGTGGGATGAGTGTTTAATCGTGGGGTTAGACGGTTAGGCGGGTGCAGTAAGCGGCGTTAGGCAGCGTGTGAGAAGACAGAGAGGTAAGTACGCAGATTAGTGGGGATTAGCTGAGTTGGCACGAAAGCTGGGCTAGAGTCTACCGCCAATTGCTTACCGCTTGAGCAGAAGGCGTATGTGATTCTCGCCCGCGGTGGGGAACATGTTCTGGATCTTGGTTACCACCGCATCCGTTTCCGCTTGGGTGGTGAACGAGGTCTCCTGGATGGTTGAGCGCCGTGAAAGATTCGCACCCAAGCGAGCTCGTTGAAAGGGCAAAGGTGAAGACATTTCCTGCGGGTTAGGAAGAAAAGAATTAGGTAACAAGTTGTTCTTTCATAAAATAATGATACTCTACTATATATTATTGGGCACTATATCAAAATTCTTTATGTTACTCTTACACTGTTTAAAACCATTAACATAAAATCAGGATAATCACTAAGATATTCCTATGATGAACAAATACTTAATGCAACATTTATTTTTGAAACGTGGGAAACACGTCTCTAAAATCTATACGTTTTGGAGGAACTCCCACGCTGGGCTTCAGTACTTGTGCCACTTGATTGACAATTATGGTTGTCTGTTCATAGTTTCTTGTAGGTTCCCCCTTATATCAATCTTTGCCCAACTCACCAATTGTCCCCTGGAGGAGGCCGATAACAATGGACTGGTTGAGACGTTGTGTAGCGTGGGATGCTGTCGCTCTTGGAACGCCCGAATCGCGGTAAGGTTGTTGCTGGGATGGACGTGGTACGGCGAGCTGTTGTGCGAGGTCTGCGGCGGACTGACCAACTGCTGCAAAGAACGAGGGTGCCAGGTTGCGTGTTCCATTATAAAATCAATAAAATGCAAAGTGCCCCAATCGAAATAATCAGCTGCGGAGGTTACCTGCAAGGCTATCGACTCCGTGGAGCAGCGCTCGTCCTGCAACTGCCTGTAACTGCGTCCGCGCGGATCCTCCAGCTGCATGGCCTTGGTCAGGTAGTTTATGTAATAGCTGGAAGGGTAAGAAGCATAAGAAGGGTGGCCAAATGGAAGATGAGCTTGCACGAAATCAAAGGCCACCAAATGACCTCCCACCCAGGGCCAATCGAAAGCTCCGGGATTCAGGCCAAGGGTGGACTTATTCAAGCCGGCCGGTTGGTGGTGGTTTGGATTGGGATTGGCTTGGGATTCTGGCCACATGTTGATGGTCCTCTTGGGAGGGCAGACAGGTAAAGGGCGAAGGAGGAGAAGGAAGTGGAACCTTCTAAACCGAGACACGTGCCAAGTAGCTGCCAAAAGGCGGACGCACAGTCGTCATTTCCATCTCCGTTTGGCAGGCCATCGTGGCTCTGATTTTGGGATTGGGAATGGGGATTTGTGGGGATGTTGATGCAAAACTCGTCTCCGGCTGAGTGGCCTCTTGAATTAACGTATGACAGTCGTTGGGCTTGTTGCTTAATTGCACAACCCTTTAAAAAATGGGTGGTTGGGTTATGTATGTGGCGCATACATATATCAAAGACTAAGGAGAAGTTAAAGACCCCGCTGGCATCCGACGACGCGGAAGTGACACAATTTATGAAGCTGAAACGAGGCCAATTGGAGTGGTTAAGGAGCCCTAAGTAGTCCATGGAGAAATGGCGCTGTCACATGAGGACTTTGGAATTTAAAAGAAGCGCCATGTTTAATTCCGGTTCATAAAAGTATATAATATATAAAGAATAACAAAGAAATTTATTTTAAAGTTTACTCAATCAATTTACAATTTGTTAAAAGAAGGCAAACTTCAGTAACGCGAAAAATATTTAAGTCTTTCGGTTCCTAAAACTTATACTTTTTAAGCGGAATTTTGTTATTTTGAAACTTAGCAATAAGGATGTACACACATACTTAAGGCAGTGTAAGTAAATTTATAAATTAGTGAGTATGCTTCTTTAGAATTTCTTAGGTTGGTCAAAAAGATAAGTTAACAAAACAGTGAATTAGGTATATTATTTGGGTTTATCTCCGGCAGAAACTTATCAAATACCCTTTTCTTATAATAAAAGTGATTTCTTATCAATATTTTTATCAGTGTACAGGAAGTTCTTTAAAA